CTGTTCTGTGGAAAGCATAAAGCATTCCCACAAAAAGCATTAAATGTAGACTTTTTTCTTGCATGCATGCTGTTAGTTCCTAAATGTAACAGTCTGATCATGATGCCGAATAAATGTCTTTTTAAAACAAACACACAAAGAAACAAAACATTATTGTGGGTATTTCTGTGAGAGTGTTTTTCTATGAGATTAACATTGAAATCAGGAGACTTTGAGTAAAGCAGGTTTCCGTCCATAAAATGGGTGGGCTTTATCTAATCAGTTGAAGGTCCAAATAGAACTGACTTCCCTGAACAAGAGAGAATTCAGCAGCAGCAGTCTTTAAGATGGAAGTGCAATATCAGCTCTTCCCTGGGTCCCCACCTGATGGCCTCAGGACTTGAACTGTAGTATTAATTCTTCCTGCCTCCAGGTCTCCTGCCTCCTAGCCCACCCTGCAGAGTTTGGACTTTCCAGCCTCCATAATCATGTAAGCCAATTACAATTATATGTACCATATACAATTTACATATGTATGTGTGTATGTAAATTGTAATATATGTATGTACATATATATACACATGTAAATTGTATATGTGTGTATACAATTGTTTATGTGTGTGTATATATATACACACACACAAACACACACACACATTCTACTGGTTCTATTTCTCCAGAGAATCCTGACAAATGTGTTTCCGTACTTCTCTAATTTGATTCCTTTCTTACATTCTCTTCCCAACCTTGGTTGAACAGTGGAATCACCTGGGTAGCTTTAAAAAATACAGATACAGCTGGGCACAGTGGCTCACACCTGTAATCCCAGCACTTTGGGAGGCTGAGGCAGGCAGATCACCTGAGGTCGGGAGTTTGAGACCAGGTTGACCAATATGGAGAAACCATGTCTCTACTAAAAATACAAAATTAGCTGAGCATGGTGGTGCATGCCTGTAATCCCAGCTACTTGGGAGGCTGAGGCAGGAGAATCTCTTGAACCTGGGAAGTGGAGGTTGCGGTGAGCCGAGATTGTGCCATTGCCCTCCAGCCTGGGCAACAAGAGCAAAACTCCATCTCAGAAAACTAACAAACAAAAAAAGACCAAAAAAACCCCAGATGCCTGAGTCTCCATCTTCAGACAGTTCAGTTTGATTAATCTGGACTGTGGCCTAGGTACTAAGATTTTAAAAGCTTCCCAGATGATTCTAAAGTACAGATGACCTCAAACTTATGTTGTTTTGACTTACAGTTTTTTGATTTTACGATGGGTTTATTGAGCTGTCATTCCATTGTAAATTGAGGACCATCTGAGTTACAATGGTTCAACTTACAGTATTTTGACTTTACCACGGGTTTATAAGAATGTAACCTGATGCATTTTGACCTACTATATTTTCAATTTATATTGTGTTTACTGGGACATAACCCCTCATAAGTTGAGGAGCATCTGTAAAAGCACAGTTGAGAAACATTGTCTTAGAGTTCCTTGGTTTAAAAAAATCTAAATAAGAACTGAGCTAAAGCTCTTCAACTATCCTATTTCCCAATCAGTTGTTGAATTCCTTTGCTGTGAATCTTACCTTTATGAGACTCTAGAGCAGAATCACAAAGTCCTAGGAACAGGTACTTTTCCCCCACCAACCTACTTATGAAAGTTCTTTAGATTACTAACTGTGAACCATGCTACTTTGTATTTACAGAAATTCCTATCTTTCAAAGAAAAGCATGCTTTTCAATTTCATTTCAAAGTTTTATGACAACGTTTTGACGTTGGCAAGTGGCTAGTTAGTTTGCATCCATTTTATTTGCAAGGAAGCTGGGGCAAAAATGATTATTTCTTTGCATGGAATTCTTCCTATCAGTCATAACTGTCCAATGAAGTAATAAATTGCCTTTTAAGATCTTCCTCCCATGGTGATTCTTATGAAGTCATGGAACCATGCCTACTTCTATATTTGCACATGAGCAAAGTGACATGCACACAAGGTTATCCATTAAAGCCTGGTTTGTGGAAGTAAAAGACTGGAAACAACCTAAGTGTCTGCCATCAGGGACAAGTTAAAAAATTATAGCACTTCCAAAAATGGTGTGCTATGCACACATAAAGGAGAATGAGGCAGTTCTTCATGCTCTGATATAGGATGATCCGGTACAGTGCTACAGCCAGTTTGGACCAGTTCACGAGGGCAGGTTGTTAGCGTCTCTTCTTAATTTTGCAGTCAGCGACAACTTGAAATTTGCCATGGTGGGAGTTACACTATGAAAATCTATAAATGGTATGAATCAGAGCATAGCTCACCCCATAAAAGCCAGTTGTTAAATATTTACTAGCACGCCACTGAAAAGATCTCTAAGACCCACTTTAACGTGAATAAAGCAAGGTGTTGCGCAATCTGCATAGTATGTGAGCAACTGGGTAAAAATAGGGGAAATTATTGTGCGTTAAAAAACCTCTAGATTCTTTAAAACTTAAACATAGAATTACTGTATGTATTCCCAAGAGAAGTGGAAACATATGTCCACACAGAAACATGAAAACAAATGTTTGTAGCAGCATTATTTATATGAACCAATAGGTAAAAACAACCTAACTGTCCATCAGCGGATGAATGAATACATTCACGGTGGTATGGACATACACTAGAATAATATTCAGCCATGAAAAGCAACGAAGTATTGATGAATGCTACAATTTGGATGAACCTCAAAAACATTATGCTAAGTGAAAGAAGCCAGACACAAAAGGTCACATATTGTATGATTCCTTTTAAATGATATAGGCAGAATAGTCAAATACATAGAGACAGAAACAGATTAGTGGTTAACAGGAGATGGAGGAAAGGGAATGAGGAATGATTATTTAATGGGTAATTTGTGTGTGTGTGTTTCTGGAGTGACGAAAAAGTTTTGAAACTAAAAAGTGGTGGTGGTTGCACACCATTATGCATACATTACACGCCACTGAATTGTACACTTTAAAATGGCTAATTGTGTGTTGTATAAATTTTGCTTCAATTAAGAAAACAAAAACAGGCCAGGTGTGGTGGCTCATGCCTACAATCCCAAACTTTGGAAGGACAGAAGGCAGATCGCTTGAGCACAGGAGTTCGAGACCAGCCTGGGCAACATGGTGAAACCCCATCTCTACCAAAAATACAAAAAATTAGCTGGACATGGTGGTGTGCACCTGCGTTCCCAGCTACTCGGGATGCTAAGGTGGGAGGATCGCTTAAGCTTGGAAGGTGGAGGTTGCAGTGAGCTGAGACTGTACCACCACACTCTAACCGAGACACCATCTCAAAAAAAAAAAAAAAAAAAAAGAAAGAAAGAAAGAAAAGAAAACAGAAAGAAAGAAAGAAAACAAAAACATAAATCTCTGGCAGGCTGTACATAGAAACTGGTAAGCTGTCTCTAAAGAGGAGAACTGGGTAGCTGGGAGACAGGGTGTGGGAGTAATTTCATTGTATGCCTTATTGTTTGAACCATATGGACAAGAGGGGATAGGAAGGTGTACATCCCCTCTGTAAAGCCCAAGGTAAATGGATAAAAAATGAATTAATGGCAAATCACAATTAATTTAGAATTTACAAACTGAAAGCACTAGCTTTCCAGAGACTCTCATTGGTTGGTTTTCCATCACCATATCCCATCAGGTGGGAGTATCTCTCCCAGGCAGCACTTGGACACCTGTATTTACTCTGCCCTGCGAATGCAGGATGCAGAGTAATGCTGGGGGTACTTAGTCGTAGAGTGGGTGAGGTGGATCTGGGAACAGCCATATGGCCTTGGGTTAGGCACATAACCTGTCTGAACATGAGTTTTCTCCTCTGTAAAACGGAGATGATCAGGTCCACCTCTCCGAAATGGTATGACAATGGTATGGAGAATTAAGATAACACATGCGTGTGCCCAACACACTGTAGGCACTGAGCAATGCTGATATCCTTTCCTGGGAAGGGGGATTCTGCCTGCTCAGGAGATTCTCCCTGATGACTCCTGAAGATTTCCTCAGCCTGCTTTGTTCAACTGGCCCAGCATCAGCATAACCTTGTTCCTGTGTCTTTACAAGCCCTTCATTTCTTCTGTTTTATAAACCAAGACAGTATCATTGAAGTGGAGAGTCAATAAAAAAGTAAGAGAATTAGATTCTTAAGGGTAATTAGAGCTGTGATTTATTGAGTGCTTACCTTGGGCCTCATATTTTAAATGCATTATTTCTAACACTTAGAACAACCCTAGAAGCAATATATTTCAATCATCATTTATAGGGACAGAGAGAGCTTAAGGAACCTGCTCACCATTACTTTGTGCTAGAGCAGCGAATTGAACCCAGGACTGCCTGGCTTTCCACTCTATCATATTCCATCATGGAACCCGGCTTGCAAATTGCCAAAGTCAAGACTAGTGGACTGTGTGGACCTAAAACAATTGTAGAATCTAGATGAAAGGTGGAAGGGGCCCAAAAAATTATTGAGTCTAACCCTCACCTCATAAGAAAGCTCTACTTCAACATCCTGACTCTTTGATGGAAAGCTCATCACCTCATGTGACAGCCCATTCCATTTTTAGACAACTCTAATTACTAGAAAGACTCATAATGTGCTATTTGCCAGTCAGATTCACCTGCTATTTTCATTACAACTTCATACACCCTGATGAGGCCATTATTAAGACATCCTTGGCTGAAATCCTGAACTCCATTACCTCCTGGACTTGCAATAAGGCCCCTAACACCATTGCCAAATAAAGTTACTCCAGAACATCAGTGATGCAGACAAAGTCATGAGAGGGATGTTGATTGCAACCTCAAATGAGTGTGGGATAGGTGATTATCTCTTTCTAAGGAAAGGTTATGCTGGGTGGGATGTATTGTCACTCGGGACAATATGTAAGTACAGCATATATTGCAGAAGTTTAAAATAATCAGAGTCGTGTGTATGCAACACAATTCCTTGGTTAATTAAAATGCTTGCAAAAAGCAATGAAAGCTGATTTTTGTGTTTCTTCTTCCTGGTTTTCAGCTTCTCTGGCAGTTTTCTGTTGAGTGAAGGACAGTCAGGTCTAAATGATGAAATATGAGCTCATGTTGCTAGCTTCCCACACCATGAACTTACGGTAAGATCTAACAACTAATAATGGAGATTAAAAATGGATAAGAACTAAAAAGGGGGAATCCAAGGTCCTCTAAGTGTGTGAGTCGTGCTCATCTGGTTCTCTGCAGGGGAAGCAGAATATGTTTACGTGATTGTGTGAACTGCAGGAAACTAAAAGATGCCAGGGTCAGAAGAGTAAAATGTGGCTCCACTGGGACTTCAGGTGGCAAATAGGATTGAGAATCTTAACTTTAATGAAGACAACAAAAACCACATAATTAACACACACTGTTAACACCTCATTAGTCTCCTGGGGCTTAAATTATGCTAAAAATAATCCACACATTTTGTTTAAATAAGGCGCTGTTACAGGTGGTCACGAAGGCTTCCTTCATAGCAGAATGAGGCCATTTTTCCACATTTTTTTCAGATGCTTTAAAGTAGGTCTTATCTTCATTCCAAGGAAAGGATTATTAAAAACATATGTGGAGCTGCAGAGAGGAAATGAGCGTATTAGTTAGAGTCTCTCTGGCTCTGAGCCTGACTCCAAAATCTCACACAACCCCATTTCTCAATCCAGACACTCAACATCAGGATTGTCTCACAAATGATGTGCTGTGGGGCATTGGTGCTGGCTACACATCAAGCTGCGCAATAGCCAAGTTTGGTCTGGTGCCTTTTCTTCTCTTCTTTTTCGCACTGTAAACATTAAAACTCCTCTGACATGTTTATACATTCACTGCTGCCTCATCTGGGTTTGACCTGTGACTACTTTGACCCATAGAATTTGGAGAAAGTGATGTTTCTGGGTTTCTGAGCCCAGGCATTGCAAAGACCTGAAATCTTTGGCCATGCCTGGAGCCACCATGGAGGAAGTCCAATTTCCCCTGCTGTAGAGCCAGGCCACAGGGAGAGGCCTTGGAGGATGAGCCATGGCCTGGAGACAGGCCACATGGCCTCTAAGCACCTGAGGCCTAGACATTCAGCCTGGTGGCAGCCCCAGCTGCCAAATGGCTACAACTGCAAGAAAGAACTTAAGCGAGGCCTGTAGAGGAACTGCCATCCCATCCCTAGATAACCCACAGAATCATGAGATATGATAAAATGATTGTTGTTTTAAGCCACTAAATTTGGGGTGGATGTTGCAAAACAATAAATAACCAAAATGCCTCTTTGCATTATCCCTGTTAGGATGCCCCTTTCACCCACCCTTGACCACTGGTTATGAACTGAAGGTTTGTGTCTCCCCAAAATTCATATGTTGAAGCTCTAAACCCCAGTGGATGGTATTTTGGGTTGGGGCCTTTGGAAGGTAATTAGGTTTAGATGAGGTCATGAAGGTGAGGGCCCCCATGATGGGACAAATGTCCTTACAAGGAGAGGAAGAGAAACCAGAGCTCGCTCTCTTCACCATATATGAACATAGCAAGAAGGCAGCTGTCTGCAAGCCAGGAAGAGAGCCCTCACCAGGAACCAAATCTGTGGACACCTTGATCTTGGATTTCCTCCAGAATTGTGAGAATCAAATGTCTCTGGTCTACGTCACCCGGTGGCATTTTGTTACAGCAGCCCAAGCTGACTAAGAAACCATCTATCTGTGTATTTCCAAGATATCTCCCAGCACCCTTAGGAAAATCATCCATGTGTGTTCATGCGTGTTCATGGAAGAAAGTCTCCCTCTGTTTCTTAGAAAAATTTCATATTCACTATGATGCTCAGAGATGAGACTCCTGACTTCCCTGTGCAAGCCAAAAGAAAAATATTAAATTTTTCCATTACTCTCTTGCTCTTGTTTTCTCTCTGTATAAAAATAGGAACTCCACCTATTCTCCACCATGGAGTTAAACAGCAAAACCCTGTGCTTGTGGGCTAGTGGTGCTGGTTGGGGGAAGGACGAGAGACATTGCTTGATTATGCTGTACTGAGCATCTCCCTAAGTTTTAGAGAGTCAGTGATGGCTCTGAAAAGGGGATTTCTTTTTCAAGCAAAAAGCTTTGCATTTCTGTCAAAAATCGGGGTAGATAACAAAACTACTTCAACTTTTGTAGTGAAGGTCACAGCTTGCTCATAACAGAGAGTGACATAAAGTATCTGTGCAGCCCTGAAGGAGAGAAAGAAAAACAAAGCATTTTTGAGACCACATTGAAGGAACGTTTACATAGACCTGCTCTATAGCCTTGGCACAGCAAAGTTAAAGTGCTAGAAGTATTGTTGACAAGACTGTACTTTGACTGAATTTAGAAATGTTGGATTGAATCAATAAAAGGATGGATGGATGATGATGATGGGCAGAGAGAGTATAATTTATCCACCAGCTCTGCTAGAGGGAAACCACTGGGTATCACTGTGGGACCTGAAAACCTGTGAATGGCTCAGAACCAAGATGATGAGAGATGAATATCCAGGCAGAAAAATTTCCCTGTGCTGAACCCAGTTAAGAGTTACATCACTCCCTCCAGGTAAGGATTATATGAGACCTTATTGTTGTCATTGCTTGTAGTTTGGAGCCTCTTTATTCATGCTCAAGTTAACTGTAAGCAGTTAATTCCATGAAATGAGTTTGGTCCTTTCCAACTAATTTTCTTGCTTTCTTTATAAAATCTCAAATTAAAGAATGTCTGTAGTTCCTTAAGAACTAAAGGTAAATATCTGAACCAGTGTGGCGAGTATTGCTGGTTGCCTAGCCAATAAAATCCTTTCTTCCTTCATAGTAAGGAAAATTTGATTTTGCTAGGGTAGCAATATGTTCAATGAAAGACCATTTACTCTGCCAGACTCCTGTGCCCCTAGGGATGCCCTGTGCCACATTTCTGACTGTGAGACATAAATTGAAATTGTCTGGGAAATAGGGTGTTGCTACTTCCCTTTTCCTTCTTCCCGCCTGAAGGAAGGTGCCATATCTGGAGGTGTATAAGCCACCTTGCAGCCTTCAGGCAACATTCATGGGTCAGAAGCCCGCACACTGACAATGATGGGAAGCAAAGATGGGAAAATTGCAAGCCCTGTAGGTATCATGGAGCCACCCTACCAGCTCTGGACTTTTTGTTCCGTGCCACAAATGCCTAAGTGTTCCAGCAAGTTTTCGTCATACTTTCCTTATTTGTAGCCAAAAGCATTCCTGGCAGATACTCTTGGGTTGATTCAATTGAGAACTACTGTTTTGGTTCCAGTGTCTGGAAGGTGGAAGGAATATGCCTTCTTTATTGCACATTACCTGACTAAAGGCCAGTTTCTCACAGAGTATTTACAGGAATATTTACATAGACCTGCTCTGTAGTCTTGGCACTAGCAAAGCTAAAGTGCCAGAAGTATTGTTGACAAGACTGTTCTTCAACTGGATTTAGAAATGTTAGATTGAATGAATAAATGAATGGATGGATGATGATGATGGGCACACTGTATTAGTTTGGGCTGTAAGAAAAGAAAGTCTTGGCTTACACTAACTTACACAACAGACTCCCAGAGTGGGAAGTCCAGAGGTTAAAAAAGAGGCAGATGCAGAGCCATCAGGGCCTCAAGGACCCAGATCATTCCATCTCACTGCTTGGCCATCCTCAGCATCTTGTGCTGATTGAACAAGATTAATCAGGAACTTTCTTGGCGACCCCCTGCATTTTTTGCAGATTTCTATACCTGAACAAAACAGATCCCTGATAGAAAAGAAAAGCAGGGATCAACAGTCACAGGAAACCATCAGTGTCTACTACCCACATGTTATATAAATACTTTGCAAAATGTGCGAAGTCCCAAAACACAAAATGATGGTGAGGATGATGCCAGCCTACCATCAGCATTGGTTTGGACACTTTCTGGCTGCCATTTGGAAAAGGGGAGTTTAGTTTCTTTCCATTCAGTTGGCATTTATGGCTTCTAAATGAATGGTCTAATTCATTCATCCAATTTGACTGGTTTCATAACAGGAAGCAATTAAAGTGTTCCAAGTGACCAACTAGCCTGCTTGTAAAAACTGAATACTTGAAAAAACAAACAATTTCATCCTTCTCGCCCTCCCAACTAAGGCACCTTCAGTAGACAAAAGGGTGGTGCCAAAATGAACTCAAACTCTGTATAAATGGAAAAAAAGAGATTCCAAAGTCTGTTTAACAACAAGACCAAGTCATAGATTCTTAGTAGGAATAGTTTCTTTCCCCTCCATCCCCGTGTGGATGGAGCTAATGTTCTTTCTTTAGAACCGGTGCCTCACTGGGAATAGATGTGAAAACTGCGTAGCAGGATCATGCAATGCGTAGGCAGCTTCGCAGGAGTGAATCTCCCCCCCAGAACACTAAGCTGCTTGTGCGTAATCCACCATTGTATTGCAAACACAGGCACAGGAAGAACAATCTGTAGTGCCAGAGAAACCACTTGTCAGACATACAAAACTAGGACAAAACAGAGCAGCACCTGTATTTTTCTTTGTGAAACAGTGTCTTTTCCTTTCTCCCCATGCGGTTCCGGTGGTGCTGATCCTACTTCTGGCTAACAGAGTAAGCCTATGATGAAATACTGTATTCCATCCTCAGCAACACAGTGATTGGTTCAGATATGGAAACAGGACTCATCAGGCAATTTTGTTGGAACTATTAGAAGTTTTAGAGCTATGAAAATAGAAGATCCTGGATTTTTCAGTTTATATGAGCCAGTAAAATTCCTTCTCACTGAAATTGGCATGAATTGCATTTCTGTCACTTGCAGCTTAAGGAAATCTAGCTAACACAGAAACAAAAGGAACCAGTGTCTTGAGTCCTAAAAAGAAGAAACAGAAATCCATGACAATATAAAGAAATTGATTCTACATTCACAAGTCTTTCTACTTCCACCCTGATACCTTTGTGTTCTCCAGTTCAATTTATAAAATGAAGAACCTCAAAAAAACTTCAAAAGGTTTAATCCTCAAAAAACAGGTAATAAAATTACAGAATTCAATGATTGCTACATGCCAAGCACTTAGTTGGTTTCCTTACATAATTATCTCATTTAATCCTCAAAAAAAAATCCTCACAAAATCCTACCTTGTTTTTA